TACGTGGTAGTATTCGGTGTATTCTGAAACAAAAGTCGTTATTTTACATGGTAGTATTCGGTGTATTCTGAAACAAAAGTCGTTATTTTACATGGTAGTATTCGGTGTATTCTGAAACTAAAAGTCGTTATTTTACATGGTAGCATTCGGTGTATTCTGAAACTAAAAGTCGTTATTTTACATGGTAGTATTCGGTGTATTCTGTAACAAAAGTCGTTATTTTACATGATAGTATTCAATAGGAATTTATATCAGTATATTGATTGATTTATCAGTCTAAGTATAAACATAATGAAACTAACAGTTATACTTTCAGATTGATCGTGTTTCCAGGTATTACATCATGATTAATTCAGTCATACAAAGATAAAAATTGTTTTAAATATTTTAATAATCTCATGTTATTGTGATGAATTACTCTCATTATTAATGATGTTAAAGATAATGAACAGTTGTCAATACTCATGATTGGGGTCAGAATATAACATTTTAAAATATAACAAGTGATAACGAGGAACCCAGTTTTGAGACGGCTTGACTGGGTAATGAAAAACTTTATTATATTTGTACGACGTTTCGATAAGACTTCAGGTACAAGTATTATACAGAGATACATGAGTATATATACAGTATAGAACAAAGAGATCGCATGACCGGATATTGCTTCACAGTCTAATATAGGTATCTTGATTCAGGGTGGGTCTGTTTTCTTCAATGAAGATAGCTTCTTTTATTTTACGTTTATTGATGTTAGATTCTTTGTTTAAAATTACCGTGTTTTGTATGGATATACTGTGTTTTTTGCAATGGTGGTAAATATGGGAGGGTTTTCTATCATGTTCAGTGAATCTGGTTTCCAATTTTCTTCCTGTTTCTCCGATGTAAAATTCTGGACAGTTATTGCAAGTTATTTTGTAAATGATGTTGGAATTGTGTGATTCTATGTAATTTTCATTTAATAATGATTTTAGTTTAGTGCCGGGTTTTGGGGTGAGATTGACGTTTAATGACAAGTTTTCTCCAAGTGTTGATTGTTTTTAAGCTGATGTCTGGGATGCATGGTAATCTGTACTGTAATATTGTGTTGTTATTTGGTGTATTAGTGTCGGTTTTGTTTGTGAGTTGACTTGTGACTGTGAAGCAATGTCCTGTCTTGTGATCTCTTTGTTCTATACTGTATATATATATACTCATGTATCTCTGTACAATACTTGTGCCTGAGGATGACAAAGTCTTATCGAAACGTCGTACAATTATAATATAGTTTCTCATTACCCAGTCAAGCCGTCTCAAAGCTTTTATTTTGAAATATAATTTAGAAGTTGAACACATAAGCATAAAGTATTTCTTGATCTTAACGTTAATTATCATCAACACTTTAAAAAAACCAGATGCGTAGTATTCATTAATTTTAATTAATTACTGTTAATAATAATTTAATAAACGATCTAACCTCGTTATCAGATCCCTCAACGAGGAGTAAAACGGCTGCTCGTTCACACTTCAGCAACCGTTGCGCCCTCTGCATAATTTTATGGATTACTTTCTCTAGAGACGTCTGTTCTTCGAATAGATCATGGACAACCTCTAGCAGCGACTGTAGAATTTGAAAAAAATCACTTTCTACAAATTTTAAATCACTGTGAAAACTCAACAGACGATGATGGTGTAACATTTCTCACGAGTTGAAAACAATGTCAGTTATTCCCGATTGATATTCCTATGTTATCAAAGTTAAGAATTTAATGTTGTAACAAAATAAAGCTGAGAACAAGTTTTAGATACTATCAAAACGTAACTCGTGAGATAATGGATTTTAAAGCTCAAGAAATGTTCTATGAATAACACAGTTTTAGAAGATTTTAATAGAGTATGCTAGTCTTCTAAATGTTCTATGAATAACACAGTTGTAGAAGATTGTAGTAGAGTATGCTAGTCTTCTAAATGTTCTATAAATAACAGTTGTAGAAGGTTCTAGTAGAGTATGCTAGTCTTCTAAATGTTCTATGAATAATAACACAGTTGTAGAAGATTGTAGTAGAGTATGCTAGTCTTCTAAATGTTATATGAATAACACAGTTGTAGAAGATTGTAGTAGAGTATGCTAGTCTTCTAAATGTTCTATGAATAATAACACAGTTGTAGAAGGTTCTAGTAGAGTATGCTAGTCTTCTAAATGTTCTATGAATAACAGTTGTAGAAGATTGTAGTAGAGTAGGCTAGTCTTCTAAATGTTCTATGAATAATAACACAGTTGTAGAAGAATCTAGTAGAGTATGCTAGTCTTCTGAGAAAGTGTTGGCTACTTGTACTTATAGTGACATTATGTACGAAATAGACTCTAATACTTCGTTGAGTTTAACACAGCTTTGTAGAATAGACTCAATCACCTTACCCTCGTTCTTGCTAAGGTTAGCAGAGCAGAACAGAAGCACATCTTACAGAATACAACCTTACCCTGTTTCTCTCGTACTCTTTTTGGGACATTTCGAAAAGGTTAGCGTTGGTTAAGGCAATACCACAGAACTCTAGGTAGGTCTTGGCGAGCTAGCAAGATGAAATATGAAACACATAATAAACTTAACAACAGTTTAAATCTCTAGAAAAGTAGAAACAAAAATAGACCCAGAAACAAAACCCTCACAAATATTGTTAGAAACACTCGGGAAAAATAAAATATTGTATAAAACTTTTAACAAGAATTTTTACTCTGAAGAGGTATAATCAGTGTTCTAAGTTTTAACGCCATTTCATTTCAGCCAGTGGAAGCTAACGGACCATCAGAGGGTACGCCCTCTCTTCGGTCAGGAACATAAAATTATATATTGGTAGTTTAGAAGTGTTTTAAGTTCACATTGTATAATCTATATCTCTAATAAGGTCACAATATACATGATGTTTAGAGATTACAGAGTGATTCTATATTTATTTCAATAATGTATATTATTGATGCTAATAATTTATTTCAATAATGTATATTATTGATGTTAATAATTTATTCTCAAGAATGTGTATTATTGATGCTAATAATTTATTTCAAGAATGTGTATTATTGATGCTAATAATTTATTCTCATGAATGTGTGTTATTGATGTTAATAATTTATTCTCAAGAATGTGTATTATTGATGCTAATAA